AGCATGGAGCGAACTCCACTCTCTAGGCAGCAAGTGAGGGATTAGAGGATGCAGGTCTCACAGATTTCATTTAATATGAAGAAGCATTCCCACTAAATTTAGAAATTAATTTTGAACTGGTGAAACAGCCATTTAATAAGGAGGGCTTTATTTTTGGCTATGTTGGCTCAAGGGTAGCATTTGAACTATTCACACTTTAGTTGACTTGTCAATGTTTTTGCAATTACCCATACTTAATTTTAGACATATATGAACTATTTGCAAACCAAAATATAAATAACTCTATGTTGATGCTCTGGGGTAAACTTTCAGAAGAGGGCTATTTTAGACAAAAGCAATTCTTACAAAACAACCATCTGGGGAATTATACTCAGAATTACTGGAACTTTTCTAGTCCACTTGCCCTATCATTTTGTATGCAGATTGCCTAAATCCCAAAGGTGAATAATTAAGGCTATTATCCCACTAATTCAGGCCACACAACATTCAGAACAATGAAGAAAAAACTAATCTTATATTTTTGTTTTTCTCTTTTTCATGTCTTTTCTTTCTCTCTTCTCTTCTCCTCCAATCTCTCCTTTATCAAGTGGCAACAGCCTCTGGTACTAAGATTGATTTTATTCGTATTTGTCCATCAGTGTTGTAATCCTGCCTCACAGTTCTTGCTTAATGTAGAAACCAAGCAAATGTTCTGCTTATGCTGGGCTTCGTTTCCAGTCATCTGACCGGCTCTCAGGCCACCACTGTGGTTCTCAGCGAGACCTTTCCTTGTGTACACACAGTCCATCTCTCATCCTAAGCCCTGGCAGCTCTGACAAAGAATGAGAACTGAATCAATGTCATGACTCTCTGAACTTAGTATCTGAGATAACTCACTGAGCCCCTTGTCCATTCCTCAAACAGACCCTGCATCTGGCATACCCCCATGAACTTCCATGGTGATATTCATAATCAAGCAGAGATATGGGAAGAATTCCTACTGAGAAATCAGCTTCTTAGGAAAAAGCCTATTTTTCTGTTTTAGCAACTAGTAAGGAGTCATTTCCTCCCTAGAATAGACTGGACAAATAGAAGAAATGGATTCCCATAAGCCCTGAAAAAAAAATAATGAAGTCTGTTTCTCACTTTTGCCAACCTATTTCAGACTTACTGGCAAGCCCTATATGATCATACCTTATTTCTCTGTACACAGGCTTTTCTTGAAATACATCTAATTAACAGGTGTTGAAAACTACCAGAAACAAAGGTTGTGGATACCCAGGCTGGGGGGACTATGGGTCTGCAGCAGTCTGGCCTGAGGTCTTCCAGGAAATTCTCCGGTCATCTTTGTGACATGACTTGCTGTCATTTCTGAAGACCCAAAAACTTGGGGGTTGTTCTTCGTATCATCTAATCTGTTATAGTGGTGATGCTCTTGCTCAACATACTTATTAGTAGATTTTAGAACAAGAAAACGAGTTCAGAATAACCCACCTTACCTAACAATTTGGCTGCTAGAATGTATATATGATACACATAATAAGTCAAGTCACATTTGTATGAACCAGAGGTGCTAGCCATTGAAAAGAATATTGCTCTAATCCTTTTGTACAATAAAGAATTATTTTGGAAAGGCAGTGAATGCTTCATAATTTATCCCTTAGTAACTTTTTACCCTCATGACACACCTGTGATTACTATTGAAGTGCTTGCAAAGGCACAGGATAGGATAAGGGGGAAAGCAGGACAATTATCCCAGACTCACACACACCACTCACTCACGTACACAAATATGGATTTCCCTCAATTATATGATTTTTTTTCTGTTGAAAATAGTTTTCTGTTGAAAATGGTTTAGGGGTCTGAACTCCTGAGAATTACTTCAGTTTTCCATTTTGAAGTGTACAGATGACAGACTCCAAACTCCTGCCTTGTTTTGAAGTGCTCTTTCTGCTATTTTTTTCCCTTTCTGTTCTAATCCTTACCAGTTATGGAGAAAAAGCCTGGAATTCATGCTTGTGAAAAGGCAAATGTGATAAAGATTGAGACACTCACGAGACTCCACAGCCTTAGCATTTTTAGGGCCTGTGGAAGGATGTGCTGCACCTTCTCCTCAGCGCAGGAGCAGGCTTTGCACACTGCTATACATCCTGGGTTTTAAATTCTCGAGTACTTTACTCAGGCTTTTCCAATCAAAGTGCATCTTTTAGATTTAACTCATTTTGTTCCATACTAGTTATAGAGTGTGTTTGAAATCTTTGTTAATTTCAATGTAATAACTTATGTTTTTTAATACTTTTTTCATAACCAGAGGTAAAAATATGGACTCATTAAAAATTTAGCTTAGGAGCTTTCTCCTTAAGATAAATTCCCCCAATCTTTATATAGTTCTCTTGGTCAATTCATTTACTGTTTTCCTACTTTGTGAAAATAACTATGCTAAAGGATTTTGAATGATAAAGAGATGAAGAAGGAATAGACTCTGCCTTCAAGGTATATGTCTCAAGTGGAGGAGACACATAAACCACAAATTATAGTGTGTCCTAGAATGGAATTGTTGCCATAGCACACAAAAATGAACAATCACAATGATTAAAAAAAAATTATGATGTATATGCAGAGAAGGGAAATTTGTGTTGTATCCTGTATGCTGAGAAGAATAACCTTGGTTAAATAGGGAGAAGAAAGGCATTGCAGACTGAGAGATTTGCTTTGATTTCCCCCAGGATTTATTTCAGTTAATGATCAATTTGTAAGAGCAAATGTACCAATTTAACCACAGTTTCTGACAATTAGCTTTTAAAATGCATTGCATTTCCTTTATTTCGCAGCATTACAAAAAGCTTTGTTTTGAAAAATTAGGCTTTCCTCTTTCTTTCTTTCTCTCTGTCTCTGTCTCTGTTAAACTTGCTTTTTATTCAAGAATGTAGTCCCTAAATCAGTCAGGCTTTCCTAACAAACCGATTGTTGAAAAATCTGTTTAACTTATTGTGGGTTTCTTATATCTTTTATCTTAGATTTCAATTGAAATACAGGAGTTCAACTCAATGCTAATAAATGAAAACCTAAGATTTATTACCATGAAAAATCTTTTATAGTAGCACTCCAGCTTTCAATTCTGTTTGCTCTGAGCCACTTATTTTTCATTCTCCTTTAAAGTTTCTATTGAAACACACCTCTTTGTCATATGCTGATAAATATTAAAATAACAGGAAAAATCTGCCTGACTTATTTAAGCTGATAATAAGAACAAAACACAGGATGTGTGTGTCCTCCTTCCTTTTCTGACTGTGGTTAAGCGTTGAGAAGATTTTGAAACCTATAATTACGTCATAATTGGTATCGCTACATTCTCTTTCCAATAAAAGCCAGGATTTTTGTAGTTCGCTACAAAGAAGGACAAAAACAAATTGCCTAAGTGGTATTGTCATCTCTTTGCTCTATTGTTTCAAAAGAATTTAGCCAAAGAAGCTCTAGCTGCCAAGCTCTAGTTACTGTGCCAGTACTCACAAAATGATCTTTCCAACAGCATCTTTGGCTAAGGAGCTAATTTAAAGAAGCATAAATATCACATAGTCTCCTAATGTTTCTCAGTATTTATTACAAGGTAAGGAAAACATAGTTTAAATATTCAAACTGATGTCAACAGAAGCCTCTTTAAACTTGGCTAACAAAAATGTGAGCAACGGTGTCTCACGCATAGGCCGATGTGATGAAATGATAGGAGTTTCAAAACCACCTCCTTTGATCTCCAAGTATGTAACATCAGTTACATGTTAAAATGCTCTATTTAGTTTTTTTTTATAAAACTTCTGAAGATGCTGCTACATCTGCACACCAGGTTTTTGAAGTCCACAGATGGAGTACTATTTTCTTCTCTTTGTCTCATATCATGGGAGCCCTAGAGGTAACCTGCCTTTACTTAATATCTTCCTTTTACTTTTATCCTTGTTTTCAATCTTTTTCTCATAAAAATATTTTTAAAAGCATGTACCATAAATACTTCAGAAGCCAATGAGCTGGTGGAATTGACTGCCTTTGTTCCTTTGATAAGTTGGACTTTGGTAGCATTTCTGTTATCCTTAGGGCTGTGATATCAGCCAAAGAACACAGTACCCGAGGGAAGAAGATGATAGCATTAGCAAAGAGGACAGTACTGCTGGAAACAGAGCCACGTATGATGCAATGTTCAGTGGTAGGTGACCTCAGTATGACTTTATCTTGCTTCTCCTGTGGTTTTTCTCAAGTCCACACTGCTGTACTAGTGGGGACAGATTCAAGGGGAAAAATTCCATTTTGGACTTAAAAAAAATGTCATCTAACTGGTTGCGTCTTATGTCACGAAGCATTTATGTTCAGCACATGTCCGTGGCATTCCTTCAAGGTATCCCTTCCTCTCCACAGCTCTTGGCTCTCCATGGAAAGCATATGCACAGTTCTGAAGGATTAGAGGCTGCTAGGTTTCTTTTAAAAAAAATAACATCTTTGAGGAACAAAGTTGAATGACTTCCAAGAGAAATGATTTGTGACTTGGAAAGAGCCTTTTGGTTTTACACCTGGCAAGGATGTAGATTCAAGTGGGATCTATAGTTGACGGCTAAGAGGAAAACCACTAACATACCCTAAATGGCCCTAAGGAACCCTCAGGCCAACCTGGGGACACCTCAGGGCCTTTGAGGTTATCTCTCCTGGAGTTCACTGGAGCCGAAAAGCTGAGGTCAAGGTGTAGTTCAAACTACTCTGCCTCATGCTCCTCTGCTGGGAAGCTGCATCACCACACATCCATCACATTCTGAAAGTCTGGGCATGCATATGATGGGAAATTATTTAATACTACTTTTTATTTGCTTTTATGCAGAATGAAGTAAAGCTCTGGTATGGTTTTAAAAAAATTTACTGAAAGACAGACTGTTGAAGGCCATGAAATGCAAACAAATGCTTTTATTCTTTGAAAAGGTTCTGAAAAAGAGGCCACATTCATTATTTTGAAACATGCAGAGAGGCCTCATAAGAAGGCTTACCTTGCAGGTTGACTCTGGAGACAGGAGGCTGACTGGCAGCTGGGGACCTCCTGTGGGGGCAGAGGAAAAACAAAGCCTGAGTCTCTGTAGGAAAACCCCCTTCACATATCCCCATGATCGCTGAAGAGCTTTGCAGGTCATAATGAGTTATCAAGTGACATAATGCTACCTCCGGACAGCGGGCCCCTGTAAACACTGGTAGATGACTGCAATTGTCTCACATCCAGATGGCCTGGAATTTCCCTCTGCACAGCCTTCTGGATGCTCCAACTTCCTAGGGAGGAAGTCATTTATCCCAGGTCTCTAACCAGACCCTCTGTTCTAGGTTTCCCTGTTCCAGGAGGTCCTCCAAAAATATGCTGGTTCAGGAATGACACCAGATATCAGAGTGGATCCCAATTCCTTTGTGCAATGTTGTAGAAAGTTGTGCCAGAGGAGCCTTTAAAGCTCAATCAGTTCAGGCCTCCCATTTTTGTTCCTCAGGAAACTGAGATCCAGAGAGATGAAGTCAGTTACCATGAGTTACACGGCCTGGCCCCTAGGAACAGTAAACTGGCTTGCTTAATTTATGGAGCAGTTTTTTCATGGAGGAGCTGTGAATTATCATAACAAGCCTGCTGATGGCAAGAGTCAAATGAAACAAGCAAGCAAATGCATGCTCCACAAAAACCCAGGCTCCTTCTTTTCTCGTTTTTCTCTTTTTCTTCTGATACCCCTACTTCCCACAATTTTGCTTCTGTCACCATCCTTCTCACACTTTGCAGAACTTCTGCCAGATTCTCCAGGATTCCCAGTGCAGTACAGTTTCCAGCATGTCTGTCAGAATTCCTTCCTACCTCACATTTCTTTTCAAGACACTGACTGGCTGTTTGCTCTCAAGCATCTTGGATCTCTCCTTAGCAACCCTTAAAAAAAATTTAAATGGTTCAGTACAATTAGTGTTCAATATAGAATTACTTAGTTTAAATGTAAATTTTACATGGGAGGGAAATTTTCTTTACTACTGGGTCCTGGGATGATCTTTGACATGCCAAACACTCATTAAATTCTTACTAAATGGAAGAATGAATGAATGAATGAATGAATGAATGAATGAGGGAAAGAACTAACTTCTTAGTCACTTTTTCTTAAACATGTGCTATCCCTTTCTGACAGTGCTCAGGCCATTCCTCTGAGAGGGAAGCTCTCTCCACAAAAATCCACACATTTAAATTTTACCTATCATTCTGTGATACTGAAATTTATATTAAGAAATATATATTTGGTCTTTGTCTCCATTCCTGGCACAGAGGTCCTAAAACCCTTGGGATTTTGTAAGTCATGATGGTGTTAAAAAGTCTTTTTTCATGTTAATGAGGTCACCTATGGAAAGCCTCTGGGGACCTAAAAATGGGGGAGCTGGTTGCCAGGAGAACCAATTGAGGGATTATTAGAGGGGGGGAATTTTTCAGCACCACCTTGGACCACTAGGGAGAGAAGCTGAGCTGGAGATTGAGTTCAGTCACCAAAAGCCAATGTTTTAATCAGTCATGCTTGCATAATGAAACCTCCATAAAGGACTAGGTTTGGAGAGCTTCCTGGTTCATGAACACAAGGAAACTGGGGCAATTGGCATGCTCAGAAAACATGGATGTTCCCCACTCTTTCCCACATACCTTGCCCTATACATCTTTTCTATCTGGCTTAAAAGGAAAAAAGTTATATCCTTTTATCATAAACTGGTAATCAAGTAAATAAAATGCTTCTCTGAGTTCTGAGAGCCTCTCTAGCAAACTAATCAAGGAGAGGGGTCATGGGAACCTCTGATCTATAGTAAGTGGGTCAGAAGCACAGGTGACAAATTGGTGGGGAAGAAGTCTTGCAGGACTGAGCCCTTAACCTGTGGGATCTGGCGCTATTTCCAGGTAGACAGTGTCAGAATTGAGTTGAATTGTAAGACATCCAGCTGGTGTCATGGAGAATTGCCTGGATGTGTGGAGAAAAAAAATCCACACAACAGAATTGGTGTTAGAATTGTACCTTCAAAGATCAAATGGCATCTTCTGCAAAGGATGTCATCCTCTTAGCTAAAAATTGATCCCTCCTCTCATCTCCCATGGTGCTTTATTTGTACTTTCACAGTTATTTCCTGTTACAACTCATATGGGCACATGTCATCACCACTATTAATCTGTGATCCATTGATGGGAGGATCCAGTCCTGACCTCTTTCTGTATATCAGCTGCAACATCCAACACTTGCCTCTACAACAGTAAGAACTCCATACATATGGGTGAATTGTTGATCTAATGAACTACTGATGTGAAAATGATTTGAGGATTCATAATTGCATTACAAATATTTTCTCTGGTTTCGTTTCCATCTACAGAACCGGTTCTACATACTATGGCTGTTTCTCTAACACAACGTGCATGCTGAGCCTTTCATGTGTTTTCCTCGCTGACACTTTTCTCTTCTTCTTGAAGTGGCAAACTCGCTCACATGTTCTAGGGTTCCACTCAGGCACCATTTCCTCAGAGGACCCTTCCCTCCCTGAGTAGTCATTGTCTGTACTACTTGTGATTTCCTATGCTTGCTCATATTATATGGCAATGCCCATCTTTCTGTAAGTCTCTTCAACTCACTTGTGAGAAATTTAAGCAAAAATCTCATTCATCTTTGTAATCCCGGAATCAGTAAATATTTGCTATAAGTATTCAGTATGTATTCATTGGATTAATAATACATTTTTCATAATTTTATTTTATCTATCTTCTTGAATTCCAAAGAAGGCTTTTATGAAAGGAGGCATTGAACTAGGAGACCCTAAATGTTGGAAGTCTCTGTTTTCTTAGCAGTGTAGCTACTTATGACACCCAATTCTCCCAATGACTTCTTGAAAATTAAACAAATTACATAAATTCCTTTGACCCAGGAGTTAATTTTGAAAATACAGCTTTTATTTGGAGTTGTTAATTCAGATAGGCACCTGTGTGTGTAAGCTTTGGAAAGACAAGAACTATGTTTATTTGGTTTGTCATTTATTTTCAAGACCTGGTACAAAGAAGAGGCTCAAGACATTTAAAATGAATGAATGACCTCTGGAAGCTACATTACCACTTACGGGCATGTGAATGCCAATTAGAAAACTTGCGATGAAAGCCAGAAGAAAATGGCATTTGTTGCTCAGTTTCCAGTGGTCCCCAGTTTATGGATGAATCATAAGTTAAATGCCTGGGTTTAAAGTTGTTAAGTCAAACAAACAACCCTGAAGCCTTTTGTGTGTTGTGAAGATGGTGATATTAACAGGGAGGATAACATGACCATAGCAGTTAATACTTTTCAGCCCTGAATAGCGCAATGGAGAAGGAACTGGACTATGAACAAAAAGACAGAATCCTAATCCTGGTTCTGGCACCTTCTAACTGCACAGCCCTGGGCAACTCACTGAACCTCTCCATTTCTTCCTCACTTAGGGAAGGCAGACAGCAACTAATGTTTACTGCCAATTTACAATGTTCCAGCTCCTGTGTGAGGGCTTTTACATATACTTGCTCACTTAACTCTGAGGGAAGTTGGCCAGGTTCTTTCCAGCTTTGAATGGTCAAGATTTTATTATTCTTAGCTAATTTAAATCTTATGCCAAAGGACATAAAGTAGTGAAAGACACTTCAGATACACACTGGAAAAAAAATTGAGTGGTTATTAATTCTTTCTCAAAGATTACACACATATTGATTAAATTATGCCTTGGAAGAATGTTAACACAGAGATGTTACCTGATATCTTGATAGCCACTGGTGACACCTACGGTGTTAGTGACACAGCTGAATGGTAGGGGACACCTCTTTGCTCCCAGCTCTATTCTCTGGCTATTAGACTGCTGAACAGTAGGCACTGTCACTCACATATGACTTCCAGAACAGTTCTTAAAGCCAGTCACTTATCTGAATTAACAACTCTAAATGAAAGCCATATTTTTAAATTAATTCCTGAGACAAAAAGAATATAGGTTTTCCTTTGAAGCCAAGAAATACAGGCCTAATCAAGCATCCCTCAATAGAACACTTTATGAAAGTGCAGGGAAATCACCTCAACAGGAACCTTGAGATTTTCACCCTTTGGGTGGTAAAGCTCAGGCAGACAATGTGCTGCTTTCATGCAGAGCAAAGAGCCAAGAGATAAAGGAAATCTTGACTTATGAGAAGTATAGTTCTATGTGGGAGTTCCTTTTTGTGTAATAAACCACACTCTCCAGATGTCTCCTGAAAACCATCCCAAGGACATAAATTATTGCTTGGATGTTACATTCAAGGCAAGGAGGGGCACCCTGGGACCCAAGTCAAACATCCCAGAAAGCAACGTCAGAGTTTCATGAATCTTACAGTTTCAGTTGTTAAGATATGTGAATATGTAGGGGGGTAAATGCCCTCAGTTTAGTGGATCCACCTCTGGCAGACATTCTTATCTTCGGTTTTATTTATTTGTGTGAGGGTATCAACTCCCTGGGGATAAAACAGGACATTAAATGGGCCCTCAGTTTTCCAATCTGCCCCTGCCGGGTGCTCTATTTGGGGCTGAAACCCATCCTTGAGTTCCCAGCCTGGGTTAGGTTGTGGTGATCTCAGGTCCATGGGGTGATGCTCTAGCTGCGGAGCCCCGCCTTGAGCTTGACTGGTTGGTGTTCATTTCAAGGAAGCTCTTGAAATCAGTAAGAGGACTGATTCTGCACAAATATGGGTATGAATGTGACGAAGATCATTAGACATAGCTATCCTATTGCTATGGTGAGTGTGGTTTGGTTTGAACGAAAGGTGACACAAAGCACCATGATTTGGAGGGTGGTCATCAGTCAGAGGGTGAGGGGCCCAGGGTCAGCTCTGCATAGAACAATTATGACCTTTGGGTATCAGTTTCTGCAGGATTATGTGGCATAAAACCCCCAAGGCTATGGAAAGTCCTGCATTAGATGAAATAGCTTATTAATCATCAGGGTTACTATTAACAGAGGAAGAACTTCCAAGACTGTGCTAAAAATCAGTAACTGAAAACACCCTCCACCCCTTCTCTCTGAAACAGTGCAATGCTGTGGCTTTGAGTCCTGCTGTGCTAAAGAAGCCTTTGAAATGTATCCTCATCTAGCCCCTTCCTCCCAGTTCCCACCTCTATCAACTTGGTCTAGGGCTCCACTCCTCATATTTTAACTTCTGATAACACTCTCCTACCTTCATGTACCTCCCTCAGGCTCTCTGAACTTCATTTATTCCATGAGCTCTTCTTAAACGACTCTGTTCCAATGCCTTCAGATTTCTTCCCGTAACACAGAGCACTCAATAGATGTAGTGAACAGAAAGATTTGAGATGATAGAAAATACACATATTGGTCCCTGCTCCCTTCCTGGCACAGATCTCCTAAATCCCTTGCAGTTTCCTGGGTGACAGGAGCACTAGAAGCATTTTTTGTTCTAATGAGGTGACACTGGGTAGACTCCTGGATGGCTCCTGGCTAGGGGCTGGCCACCAGGAAGACCGAGCCATGATAAGAAGCGTGGCATTCTAGCCCTACCTCATCCTCCAGAGAGGGGAGAAGGGCTGCAGAGGGCGTTAACAATGATCATGCCTAGGTGATGAAACCTTCATAAAAATCCCAATAGGAAGGGGTCTGGAGAGTTTCCAGGCTGGCAAGCACATTCACATGTTGGGAGGGAGATGTACTCCAGCATCGTGAGGACGGAGGCTGCTCTGCCCCAGGCCCTCCCGGGACTTGTCCTATGACTTTCTTTATATGGCTATTCATCTGGTTCTCTTGTCATATCCTTTAATAAACTGGTAAATGTAAGTGTTTCCCTGAGTTCTGTGAGCTGCTCTACACATTAATCAAACCTGAGAAGGTATGGGAACCTCCCACCTATAGCTGCTGGGTCAGAGCATAAGTGATAACCTGAGTTTGCAACTGGCTTCTGAAGTGGGGATGGGGAGCAGTCTTGTGGGACTGAGCCCTTGACCTGTGGGATCTGGCTCTATCTTCAGGTAGAAGAGTACAGCATTGAGTTAATTACAGGACACCTAGCTGGTAGTGGAGACTTGCCTGTTGTTGTAGGGGAAATACCTTCACACATTTGGTGAGCAGAGTGTCAGAGTGAAGTGTTATGTATGAGTAGGAAAGGAGATTCACAGGGAAGAAAAGCTAAGTAGGGAAGAACTGGGTTTTCCATACATAGGAAAGAAAGAACAGTTTTATTCTTACAAAAGAGCACTGCAGTGGGATTCAGAAACAAATGGTAAATCCATTCTTTTTTTTTTTTAGTATTCTTTTTTTCTTATTTTGTATTCTTATACCTCTCTCCCAGCCATCTCCCTCCTTGGTCCAGCTGCCCTCTGTGGTTATTCCAAACCAAGAGCTTCTATGATCACCCTCTACCCCAAAGGCAGGAGTCCCGAATTCCAAGTGAATTCCAAGTCAAGACACCAGGTTTCAACTATGACTCTGCTCTTCACCAGAAGTGGTATGTCCTGGCATAAGTTATTTAGTTTCCTAAGCTTTGTTTCCTTATCCAGAGTGAGGGCAACAATTCCTCTCATAAATACCCTTTATGACTAGTAAAACAGATAGTAGTTATTGAAACTCCAATGTGTTATACTGTTTCTGGATTCAGCAAAAAAAAATAAGTATCAATTTTACTAGCTCACATTTATTGAGCACCTACTATATGCTAGGTGCTGTTATAAATGCTTGACAAATAGCAGTTCATAAAATCCTCAAAACAACCTTATTTTACAGATTGGGAAACCTTATTTTAAAGATATAGAGAGGTTAATTAACATAATTTTCAAGTGGTAGAACTGGATTATGAAGCCATTAAGGAGGGCCCCAGAGGCTATATTCTGTAAAGCAAAAAGGTGGAGAAAGAGAAGGGATCACTGCTGAAAAACTGATTTTCTAGATATTTGGTGGTTTTTCTCCAACAATTATTTATATATAAATACATATGTATGATGAATATTTATGAAGCACACACTAAAATGTGAGGCATTCTGCTAATTCTTAGAAATTCATGGAAAAGTAAATGTAATTCTCAAGGGCCCTCAAGGGACACACAATCCAGTGGTGGACAGAGATCCAGTCGAATGGTGTGATGACGTTTGTAGAGTAGTCGAGGCACTCAATGAGGCTGGGGCAGTCCGGGAAAGCATCCTGGTCCTTCTTTCATTTGTTGAACTCCTATTGTCTCTTAAGTGTTAAGGGTACAAAGATTAGTAAGATCCAGACTAATTTGTAACATCTTGCTGGTCCAAAAATGCTGCATCACTCCATACTACTTTCAAATTTAATGTATATCCTAACTTAGCTTGAAGGGTGAATTTTCATGCAATAGCTTTTATTTGTTTTTAATGCTGTTGAGCGGCTTTGCCTTTATGGAAGGGATTCACAACTCCACAAAAAGCCCAGCTTACTTGTTGGATGTCCCATGAAGGTTTGTCAGCAGAGTGAAGTTGTTTCTCACGCTTCGCAAGCTGGCGAGGACCTATAACGAAAATATTTCCAATGGTTAGGAACCAAAGGAGACGAATGAGCAGGTTCAGAGGCCACACTTAGAAACTACACCCAGGGACAGAATGAGAGTAAGCCAGAGCCAGGAGGATACATACCTGGGCAAAGGGCGTTACAATCAAGTCATCGCCGTGTCTGGTGGAAAGAAAGAAAAGAAACATTTAAAAATGCATTTGAATTATAACTGGGACATACAAGCTGTAATACTAAAATTTGTCAGCATTAGCAACAAAATGTAATACAAGTCCTGGATATAAAGCAGGACTGATTTAGGCATGTATGGGGATCTCAAGGACTGGAGAAAAACGTGTAACAATCAGGTTTAGGACTCATGCATTGAGAGAGACTACACGTAAAAAAGCCTGCAAGTCAGCCTATCTTCAGGGTATATTCCCAGGAAGAGGTGACCCAGAGTACTGTAATTCAAAGCGACTTGTGGAGTTGAGCTGCCACAGCCAGGAAATTCAGAGGGAGGGCTGCTCGCAGGCACACACAGGGTTGGAAAAAAAGGCCTAACAGTCTGCAGAAAGGTTAACTTTAGATTTCCTGGCTTTTGTTGATTTGAACCACAGGCTTAATGCCTTTTATGGCATAACACAGATTTCTCTCTGGGAATCCCATTACTTTTTGTTTTTAATATAATTTTTTTCTTAAAGTACCCAAGGAAAAGCTTTTAATGGGAGTGTACGGGCTGAACCTATTATAAACGTATCACTGACGCTCATTTTGTCTCAAAGATCTGATTAAGCTGCACCTAGTGTTATGTCAGTCTGGATTTAGGAACAGTCAGAAGTGTGTTTTGCACTTTGTCTCTGGCATAAGCTTTGATAAATAAATCTGTTTAAGCCCACATTCGGCAAACTCTCCATTAAAGTCATTAGAAGACACATGGGCCTGATGTGCAGACACAAAATCAGGCCAATTTGTTATCACAGTATGAGTCCTAACAACCTCAGAGAAGTTGGTTGACAATGATCATCCTTCACTGTCTGATCTTCCTTCAGTGTCCTCATTATTTTCACATAAACATAGCACCTTATTTGTTAACTCTGAGTACAACCAATGATTATCAAGCACCCAGTACCAGGCATTTTGCAAGGCCTGGGAATCCAGAGTTGAACAACGTATGTGCCTATGTGGGCATACAGGCCTCTTTGTCAGCGTGGGCTTTTACTCTGGGGGTCTTGTTTAATAAAATATTTTCCTTTCTGCCTTTGCCTTTAGATAGATGTCCCCCTTCAATTCAATCTAGCAAACTTGTGCATCCACTTTCTACAGTGACTATGAAAAGAATACTGACAAGAGTAAGCATTCTTTGCACTATCAACACCTGTCAGGCCTGTGCTGGGCACTTTATGTGTTTTAGCTCATTTAATTCTTGTCCCAAGACCAGAGGCAGGTACTCTTCATATTCCCATTTTATAGATGATATCAAAGTTCAGGGCTTAACTAGCACATGACTAATAAGTAGAAGAACTAAGACTGGTTTATTCCAAAATTCAGCACTTTTAACTATTTTGTTTACTATTTTATGATAACTCTGCATAGTTGACAGATTAAATAAACAGAATCTATGATAGCCCCCAAATTAAAACATAGTAGAGGAGACAGAAAAATATTCAATACACTGAAATAGATATTATAAAAGTAGAATGAGAAATACAAATAATGGATACTCACTGGGATACAAAGGAGAGTTATCATTACAGACTAGAGGAAGTAGGAAGGGCTGAACTGAATTTGTGGTGTTTGAGACACACTTTGAAGGGCCAGCTTTAAAAAGCATGGATGGCAGATGCTTTCAGTGAGAGAAATGGCAAGAACAAAGGCATTGAAATGGGACAGTCTTCCAGACTCAGATGCTTAGTGGCTGTTTGGGTGGAGCTGAGCACATGAACTACAGACATTTGTAGAGAATAAGACTAGAAACTGTGCCCCCAAAACACACACACACATTGTAGGGACAGTTATGGACAATGATTGTGGAGTTGGTGCTTAACTTGGTAGGAAGTTGAGTCAGTGGAGGTTTTTAGTGAAACAGGCAAACAGAAAGGTACTGTGGAAAGTAAAATGCTATGGACACCATGGAACTGGCTGGAGAAGGGCCAGCTCCCGGAAGAAGAGTTAGGGGGAAAATGCAGGCATTCAGATGAGAAAGAATAGGTGTAACAGCGGAAGAAACAGGGAAGGACAATTTGAAGAGACCCTAAATGTCTTACCAAGGACTTGGCATTTAATTGGATAAGGCCTCCAAAAGAAATAGTATTTTCAGTTTTAAAAATGGGCATCTGGGAAAACAGTGAAGCCATTAGTAGAAATAAGAAAGCATGGAGGCACTGGGGGAGATGTGTCACTTTCCCACATGCTGAGTTTTAAGATACTTGTTGATACTTTGGCAAAGATATCAAGCGGGAAGACTAAAGTAAGGGAACTGGAGCTGCAGAGTTAGAAGTTACCTACAGTAGTGGGTGTAGTTACAGCAATGGCAGGGAGTGGCTTCCAAGGTAGGGGCAGACACAGAGGGTCACAGGGAGAGGCTCAGGGTTCTGGGAGAGGAGCAGTTGTGATAGTAGGGACAGTGCAGGATGGTGAGCTGCCTCTTCCCAAGCTATTTCCTGAGGTCATCTTTAGATGGGTGAAATATCTTGCTACTTGTTCAGATATCTACTGGGAAGGTTCACATATTTATAAGAGTTAGAGTTAAATAGATTGTCTGTGGCTCCTGGACTTCTGAGTCTAAACACCCAACAAAAACTAAGTAATATAGGCTCATCCCAAACATATGTAGTATCTAAAGGTAATGTGTTTTCGCTTGAATGGGGAGTTAACTAAAGCTGCACAAACTAATGATTAAAGGCAAGTAAAGAAACATTAAACGTGCACCATATCAACACAGCTTTATCATTATGGAACTTTTGATGTAGGAGTGCAGGAGAGAGGAGCATTCAGAAGCAACAGATGCACTTGCAAATCCCCAGCACTGGCTCCCTTGAAGGATTTGAGTGTCAAAGGCTGATGCTGTATGTCAAATAATGGCTGCTAGAGAACTGATCATATGACTTATAGCAAAGAAGTAAAACAAAACAATAACTCCCCTTTGAGTACAGTCAGATTATGTACTATTCTGTTTTTAAAATCATAATTGATATATTAAGATGACATGGAAATAACAAAACAATCAGTTATGAAAACTGACGTACTTCTAAGTTTCCTGAACTACAGGAGAAGGCAACACCAGGCCAGGTATTCAGAACCAGGTCATGAGCAACATCTAGTGACAAAACTAGCACATTACAATCATACAGAATAATGAGCAGAGAATTCCGGAGGCCTTAGATTTGAGGGTAGGTCTCCTCTCAACAATGAAATTTTCTAGAAACCAAAAATGCTGCTTCCCAGTGCTACACTCTGGATTATTTTAATTTCTCTTTTCATACCTACACTTAGAATTTCACTTGTACTTTTCTTTTAACACTGATTTTGGTCTGTCTGACCAAGAGACATTCAGTGTTGTAGTTAAGAGCATAGATTGCGGAGCCAGATAAGATTGGCTTATTTCTTAGTTGTACTATTACTAACTACAAGACATTGGGAAACCTTTCTATGCCTCAAATTCTTCCTCTGTAAAATGGGGTGTTGTGAGAATTAAATGAGTCATCGTATATGTACAACTCTTCAAACAGTGGCTGGAACACAAAAGCACTTTAATTATTTATAGTTATTGGTGCTTATTAGTAATGATACTTATCAAGTATCATTACTATGATAATTAAGGAATTGCATATCTATCTTTTCAGCTAGTAAGAACTTCCTTAAGATAATCATGTCTGTCCCCATTGTAGTCAAGATAACTAATATTTATATTGTACTTTACACTTACAAAGCATTTTCATGTACATTATTTGATGTGATAATAGACTGTCCTTGGCCCTAGGGAATGGTGCAACCACCTATCTTGTGGGTCAAGCCTGAAACCTCCCTCTCCCTTCACTCCATAGTCAACCACCAAGCCCTATTGGTCCTAACTTGCAAATATTTATTAATTGCCCCCCTGTATCTGCTCTAATGTACATCCCCATCCTCTACTACATGGATTACCAAAGCAGCCTCCCATTTGGCTCTTGAATTCTAGTCTTCAGGCTTGTCCACCATCCAAACAGTTTTCATACTGTAATCAGAGCTATCTTTCAAAAACATTTGCCTGATTATATATGCTCCTGCTTAAAAGGCTTTAGAAGTTCTCCACTGCTTGCCTGAGGCATAAAGGCCAATTCCTTAGCATAGGCCCTTCATGATGTGGTTCCTGCTTCCTTCTCTTAGCCTCATCTTTCACCACTTCCTCATCCCTTCACATCTCTGCCTCAGTGGTACTGAGCTGTGGTTCCCCACATGCTCCTGACAACTAGGGAGCTAGTTAGCACCTTGCCCCTCCTCCTGCAGCCCCTCTGCCTGGCGAGCTCCTTTCGCTTAGCTGTCATTCTTCAAAGTGGGCTACTCGTCCTGCCCGGCCAGGCCTCTCAGGGTCCTGTGTGTACCTCCCATGATTGCCCTTATCTGAAGTTATTAAAACTGCCTTTTGATTTACTAATCTTTCAGCTCCCTTGAAGACACAGGAAGTGTCTTATTTGTTAGCAAAGTGCCTAAATTTAAGTAAATTTTTGTTAAAGAATGAATATGACCCTCACAACAGGTGGAAAGGCAGGCAGAGCAGGGAATAATACTATTATTTTTATATTTCATCCTCATTGAGTGTCCATTTATGCACTGATAGCCATATGGCTTAGTCATCTAGACCCCCTGGATTTAAGCCTTGGTTCTCCATTAACTGGGCAGGTGACTTAGCCTCTCTGTGCTCCACCATCCTCATCTTTAAGACAAATTACAGTACCAACCACCTTAGGGTTCTGGGATTAAAATATGCAAAGTACTTTAACTATCACATAAGAAATGCTCAATAAATGTGCGCTTATACTTACAGATAATATAAACACTATAAAAAAGATTTATTGTCTCAAAGCCATGGTCCTAGTGAGTGTTAATGGCTATAAGCCTAACTCAGGTCTTAGATACCACTTTGCACCTTTTTGATAGTCCATCAATAAAGAGTTCTTAAATTTAAGTGGGCTATTATTTCTGCCTTTTTTCTTGCTTGTTAGGCCTCAATTCCCTTGACTCTTCCCTTTGGAGATCACTGAGTCCTCACACAAATGGTGGCTTTAAAAAGCTCCTTATTTTTAAAAGGATTTGCAAATACGATGCCCAAATGAAGGAAAGATGCATCTTCTTTCCTGGCAGCTTTGCAGTAGCTCCTCAGAACTCGGTCCTGTCCAGGGTGGTTTCTGCCACGGTTTTGGGCAATATAACTAGCCTCACCAGTTTCCAGTACTTTATGTTCCCATTGGGAAATCTGTACCTTGGTCAACTACGTTAGAGATGACTGCAATACAGGAACTGAATAGAAACCAACAGATTATTGCCACATCAAGGAAAGCATCTGAAATTTTCTTTTGGGACCCAGTAGTGATCTTGTTATCTTTACTAGAAAGCATTACTTCAATCTCTCTTTTCTTGCTGTAAGTTAAAACCACTTTGAATTTCCCATTCCCATTTTTACTTTTAATATCTTTTCACTCACTCTCCCCACTTTTATTTCCTGTTACTCTTCCGAAAGAGTTCAGATGAGAAATTTTAAAAAGCTCTAGTGTCGCCTCTATTAATAAGATTTAATGTAGAGGAATTATGCAAAGTTTCCCACGTCTTACATAAATTCATGACTGCTTGTGCTGGATATGAGGGCTTCTGAGCAGGGAACACCCTGTAGTCCCACCTAGGGGCCTTCACTCAGGACTCCAGACCTACCATTGTCCCTCTTTTCCTTAACTTTATGAGTAGAAGGCAGGAGGAGCAGTGAGAGGCTCAGGGAATGTTGTACCTCTGATTGTTTCAATTCACCCTGAAGAGAAATAAGTGGGTGAAATACTTTGAGAGCATTGTTTCAGTTTAGCTAAGGTAGTTGTATGAAACTAGATTTTCCAACATTGTCCTGATAAAATGAAATACTAGCAGAATCTGGGTATTATTCAAGCTCCATTTCTTATTGTGCTGAGAAATATTAATTCCTAAACTGACAAATGTATGAAAGTTTTACTGTAATGTTAAAATATGGCCAAAACAAAATGTTGTAGTATTTTACTCACTCAAAGATTTTAATATATCCTGTTAGCAGTATATCTGATAGAGTAATATGTCACCAACTGTGTTTTCTTGGGAAGGGCTGCTCTTTATTATGAAAGTATGCCCTTCCTACTTTTTTTCTTTTATTTTAAAAAGTTCATTAAAAAAAAAGTCAGAATGATACTAGATAGCTTGCATATACAATCCTTACGTGCCTAAATTAAAAGTTGGTAACACTATGGTAGATTCTAAAGTTAGGGGGGAAATGTTGCTGGCAGGTAAAATTGAAAAGAGGGCGAGCCATTAGAGACCCTGTAGGCAGTCATCCAAAATGAGATCTCTTGTATCTACAGCTATTGATGGAGTTGGACTGTAACCTGCAAGGTCTCTTCAAGTTCAAAATGTCTATAACTTAATGATTGCAAGTAAAGAATCACCAGAGTTTAATCTGAAATGTGGTTAGAACCTTCTGGGAAGTCTCTGAATGACCCTGAGACTTATCATGCTGTTAGTCATACTCTGGGGGAACTGTTAGCTGCCTTCCAAAACTAGTCTTTTGCTTGTGAGACACTATGTGAATGAAGCACTAATTACTTCCAGCTCCCCGCTCTCTCCCTAAAGAGTCTAGAAAGGTGTTTCTCTTGGTGAAAGAGAGAAGTCCAGGTTTATTCACTGTCACAGCCTCCATCTAAATCTGGCTCAGAAATGTCCTTGGTTCTCTTGTGACCAGCAACAAAATGGTCACCTCCCCTGAGTACTGGTACCTCAGCTATGGATTCATGTTTTCTACCTGCTAGTAGAGATTCGCCTTTGCAGTCTGAAGAACATAGGTGAATAGATTCCCAAAGTTTTAAATACGGTCAGCCTGAGTACAACATACACAGTGTGGCATGGGATAGAGGCAGGTTTCTCAGTCTCTCAGAGTCTCAGTTTCATCATCTCTAGAGTAGAGATAATAATGGTACCTACTGGACAGGATTGTTGTGAAGATTAAAAAAGAAAACATGTAAATGCAGCTGGCCCCAGAGTAAGCACTCATTAAATGTTTCCTTCCATTCCTAGTAGAGTTATCCATTCCTATCTTTCTTATTTAACTACAACCTCTCTAAGAGCATTCAGCCTTTTTGAGAATACCTGTTTTTAGCTCATCTGTGACTTTTCCACTGTTTTATTTATCTTTTATCCCTATAGCATGGCATGCTGCATGGTATATAGAAGAGATTCAGCAAATATTTGCTAAATGAATGAATAAACAAATTTTGGCCATCGAATGGTTGAGATACTTTAGGGTAGGGGTGCTTCTATTAAAATTTGCTGGCATAAATGCCCTGGGGTATATTTTCTTACTGGTAGCTTTACAATGCCCCCTGCCCCCTTCACAAGAGGACAAGCTTTTTTAGCTTCCTTTTCAATAGTGGAAGGTAGCCCAGTGGAATTTTCCAAGCTAAGACTTCAGGGAGCTACAGATATTTTTTATAATATAGGATGTTAAAAACAATTGCATGTGTGCCCAGAAACCTTTTAAGACATGACTTTCAACAGCCAACTTTATTTGATTTCAGAAATTTAATAAACAAGTAACACAATCCAGTTGCTGTTCTTCCATAAGTAAAAATTAGAAATCTACACTTAATAGCAGCAACACAGAAATATCCGTTGTCTTTGTCTTTAATAGTGTGGTGGGGTATGCTATGTCTCAGCAATGAGCCAGACCAAAAGTGGGCATTGTGTTAAGGTTCCAGAGAAGGGACACAGACATATGGCTGGATGACTCTTATTAAATGTAACCAAGCAAAGGTCACTGAGAGAGGATGGATGATGTCACCAACTATCATTTTTGCTCTCTATGGTAGCTTCATGCAAACTGCACATGCTGCAGAAAATATGAGTGTGATTTGAAAGAAGTGTTAAGGTTCTCATCTCATAAATGATCCAGCAGTTCAAGAAATGCAGCCAGATTAAATTTTAAAAAAATCAATAACAGATAACAGATGTAAAGTGAACACTGCCTGAGGTTTCTAATACCCTTGGAGACCCCAGCTACATATGCCTCATGCTATAGAGCATTAATGCCCTTAAGATGCTCATCTATGTCCCCTCTGCTTGTGTTTATTTTTTTCCTCCCTCCTCTTGGCAGGTTAGAGGAGAGAACTTGCTGCTGCTGCTGGCAGGCTTAAAGATGAGGTAAGAGTAAGACTAGAAGCCAGACAAGCTGGTACTTACTGCTCGCTTGGAAGTGAAGAATTTCTCGACATCGCCTTTGGTGACAAGTCATAGTCACTGTCTGACCTGTAGAGAAAGGACTCT